TCTTACAGGAAGGCCTTCAGAAGGTAAAATCTTTAACACAAAACAAACAAACCAACCAACCAAAAGAAGCATCAATCCCTTTCATTCTTCTCCCACCCCTTCAGACATAAGTTATTAGGGGCTTTAAGTTTTACCTTTAAGCTTCAAAACAAGATTTTAACACATAAAAAGAACATCCAAAGAAAAGAAAAAAAGCATTATTAGAAGAGACTAATGTTCTTAAGACACACACTACCTACATTTGTAAACAGCACTAAGTATTAGAGCTCAAGCAGTGATCTGTGGTAAATCTTCAGAGCACCCAAGGCATTTGCAGAGCAATTTTCTCAGACATTCTCTAGAGGTTCAGTATTAATCAGCCTTTTCACAGGTACAAAAAAGAGCCTCATTCAGAGCATTGGAAGGAACAGAGCCTGACTGAGATTTTCCTCATCCCATAAAGCACAAAAATGTACTCACGCTTACAGCACTGTTTGGATTATCACAGCACCGCTCAAAATGAAATTGCAGCATCATTTCCTGTTACCTCCTTTACAGTGACAGTGAGCCTCATACAGGTACCACTTCATGGCATGACTCCTCTTATCCCCATTTTAAATTGGAAAAAAAACCAAACCAAACCAAACAAAAACAAAACAAAACAAAACAAAAAAAAAAACCAACAAAAAAACCCACCAAACACCCAAAACATAAAAACAAGCGTTGTCAGAAGGGCTACTAATAGGGAGGTATCTACATATGCACTTCCCGTTGCCTGCTGGATATATGTAGAGTCACTTATTTCCAAACTTTTCAGAAGCACAGCCTATTACTTTGCTATCACATGAGGATGCTCTTCACAATGTATGGCAAAATACTGAACAGCTAGAGCATGCTTAGAAGTACAAACGATGATGAATTTCCATGATACAGACACATACCTCCAGTATGTACCTCCTATATATCTATCTCCAACATATCTCTCCAAAAGCACATTTATCAGAGCAAATGCAGCCATCTCCCACTTGCTAGACATGGAAAGAGTAAGAGCAGAAAGCATCCAGCTACCATCCCCAGTGCCATTCTTTTTTTCTGGCATAGATGCAGTATCCAAAGGCAATGAAATGAACTAGCTGAGATAGGCACACTTCCTGCAGTAGATGACTAGGATCTTTTCAATGGTGAAGACATTTGTAAGTTAATATATGGAAGAGTGAACAGCACTTCCATAGACAGTTCTGGGGTGTGCATGGCATTGGTGACATCCTCCAGTGAAAACACAAGGTTTCTGAATTAGAAAACAAGGTTTGGATCATTAAGCAAACTTACGTTGTAAGAAGCAGAAAGAAAAGAGGGGGAAGCTCACTGAAAGTTCACAATTTCCAGCTCTCAGCTTCAATTATACCTCATTTTCCAAAGGACCTATGAAGACTGCTAATATATAGCAGGGACAAAGCATGCTTAAGAGGAATACTCAACCACCCAAAACACTCAATGGTAACTCACGTCTGTAGCTGCTGTGATTGCTACTTTGGTGGGGTATCTTGGAAGGAGGCAAAAGTTAAAATATAGCAGGGAAAAAAAATTTGAATTATCCTGTAGCTATTCAGGCACATCTAGATTGATACTCCCCAGACTGTCTAAAACCAAAGGATAAACTGGAAATGAGTAATGCTAAAAGTGGTACAGCAGTCTGGAAGAAAACAAGAGTAACTAGACATCATTAACAGGAAGGACAAAACAAAGTTAGGGCCAGCCTGAAACATGGCGTAGCCAACAGCTTGTCAGCTGAGAGCATTAAAAGAAACATTTTTGACAGATATGGATGATACTGGGAAGGACAAAACCAAAAATACTCACTGCCCTGCTTTCTGCAGGTAACCAAACCCAGTGGTTCCCCAACTGGCTGCAATTTGCAACCAGGAAAAATCCTTTCCTCAGCAACAAGCATACATCATTCCCTAAAACAGAAAGAAAACAAAAACTTTTCACAGGCATATTTGCAAACCCACTTTTCAGCTTACACACAACCTTTATTGTGCAGATATGCAACTTAAGAGAATCCCACACATAAAAGCAGGACATTCTCTGAATTAATGATGTTAAACAGAACTAATGCTTCATAAAACAAACAAAGAGTTTTCCCATTTCAGTTCCTTACTCTCAGTACAAGCCATGCCCCTTGCAGGAGACACTGTCACTACACCAGCAACTCCACAATGCACAGAAACAATTTTGCTAAAGGGGACCACGCAACTGCAAGGGATCCTGATTTTAAAAAGCTACAGGAAATAGCGTAACTCAGGCTTCCATGCCAATAGCAGCTGAAATCCCCAGTGCTGCAGGCAGCCTTATACAGATCTCTGCTGCATGAACCAAACCAAGAATCTCATGTATATGAATGTCTGTAAAAAGCAAATCCATTTTAGCTTCTCCACAGTGCCAAATCTGGTATCTAACTAGATTGCGTTAAAATTTTTTTTAAAAATCAGCCCTTTAAGTGTTCTCTGGCTCAGACTGTTTATGAACAGCCAAGAAAAAAGTGAGCTGAAAATTGCCAGTTTGTGTTAAAACATCTGTTCTCCATCATGATAGAAAAAGAAGAACTCTTCCCCACAAAGAACAGCAGAAGCAGAGCATTTCTCTGAGCACAGAGTTAACACGTGCAAGGCAAGAGGAAGTGAAATAGCTGGCAGCTCTGAAGTTTCAGCACAAACCAAATAGCTGTGGCATTACAAATCCAGGACTCTAACAAAGTGAACCACATCCTTCTGGAAATAAAATTCCATGTAGCAATAATAAGGCCTGCCCAAAAAACACAACACGCTTCACTTTGTCTGAAAAACTACATGTCTATGTAAATGCTGAACGCTTCTCAGAACAAAAAAGTCATGCAATACAAATCAACTCCTATAACTTAAAAACCAACTTGATAAAATTAAGTATGATTTCTATAAACTTTATACTGAAAGCATAGCGGCCTTAATCAGAGCCATCAAAGAAGGCTAGGATTTCGGCTAACAGCTGAGCTGAAAAGCTGACAGTTGAGGATCCTGTTCATGATGGCAATTGCTGTTTCACAGAAAAATTTCAGCAAAAATTAGGCATCCCAGGTTGGCTGATTTACCCCCCGGGTAACTTATTTATTAGTAAGAAGCACAGCATACAAACAGATGTTGTGCTCACACATCTGCTCACCAACACAGTAACTCACAAGCACCTACATAGCCACGAAAATATCACCTCCAGCTTTGCCAATGGAAGCCTATGGTCAGTGCCACAGAAGGTGCCTGGGCACGCTGATCTCTATTACAGCTTGTAGCACAAAAGCAAGCTGAAAAACATGGCACTGGAGCACATCAAGGATGAGTGTGACCAGTGCTGAGCACTCCCGCCCTCCTTTCCAGAGCTGCAGCAAAACTCCTCTCGTGCCTGTGACGACAGAGCAGCCAGCAAACAGAACTACCCAAAAACTTAAATGGGGAAACACCATCAAAGAGCCATGCTAGTGTTTAACTAATGAGATGAACATAATCTGATGCTTTGCTCAACTTCAAAATCTGAAGATCTGAACAGCTGCAGTAATGTGTTTCGCTACTCGAAATTACACCTACAGGCCATTAATTTAACTTTTATGATAACAAATGCGTTAAGTGCCTGAGCTGCTCTACAGAGGCGCATTTACAAATTTGAAAGGTGTCCAAAGATGAACACAGGAAGAGGAAAATCAGAAAGCAAGCCTCATGTTGTCATGCTAACGGCTCTGTAGAAAAGTTAAAACTCTTAATTGCACATATAAAAAGTATTTCATGTTAACTTATTCTAAACATTTCCGCTTTAGAAAAGTCCTCAACAGAATCCTTCTCCTTAAATCAGAGTGTACGAATTTGACTCCTAAACTTTGTCACTGTCATGTTCCTTCCCACTAGGTGACAAAGCAGATCATTCTCCTGCTCATTTTTCCTTCTCCTCCTCCCCTTTTAGGTGCATCTTCATGAACTTTAATCAGTTTTCAGCCTCATCTCAGAAGCCCTAGAAAAGCACAAAGCTTGCCTGCAAAGCTGCACCCTGCATAAGTCAGAGGTGATAAACTGAACAAGCAGCATCAGAGCGTGATGAATGGCAGTGTAAATGCTCACTGCAAGAGGTAACACATTTTTAGCACTCCACATTTAAACCTTAAGAGATGAAGGTGGCTAAGCCAACATTAATTTTAATTCCCTTCTTAAGTGTCCTCCTAACACAGCCACGATTGAGCTGAGAAAGCTTCTCAGATTAACAGAGTAGGGCCAAATTAATGCTAGGGAATTCTGCAGGTGACTTTTCAAGCACGCTGTGTGCAGTAATCCTTGTCAAGACACACACATGGAGGTGCTGGGTGTCTCCGAGTGGCCATGACACCGTGCAGGCTGCACAGCCCCACTCAGGGCTTCCTTCTGCCTGTCACCTGCTAGCCCAGGTTCTCTTTCGGGCAGACGACAGCATCGTGGTCTGCTTCATCACAGCAACACGATCAAGCGTGCACGGCATTTCTGCTGTTAAAACGGTCCTCAGGGACTATGGCTCATCCTTTCCTGACAGACAGCCACAGGCCCTGCTAGCTGCCCTGCCTGGTGGCCTGGGAGCATCTGTCAAGCTGCAGCTCCAGCTGCAGCACCCGGGCCCAGCACAACACACAACCCCAGGCACTGCACACAACGAAGTTCCGCAGCAACACTTGAGGAAAAGTTTTGGTTGTTTTTTTTTCTTTTTCCCTTCCACTCCTATTTCGTAACAGAGCCCCGTAACTCCCCCACCACGCCCCGCGCCTGGAGAACCCCGCTGCTGGGCCCGCGGGCGAGGCGACAGCCGCAGCTGCGGTGGCGGAGCAGCCGCCGCCTGACGCCGGCACCGGAGCGCTCCAGGGCGGCTCCACCAGCGGATCGCTCGTTTCCCCCTCCCCCATCACCGGGGTTACCGCCCCGCCCCGCCGCTCCCTACCAGCGGCTGAACTTCTCCGAGCGGTGCTCCGCCGAACTCACCTGAGGCTCCGAGAGGGTCGGGCGGTCATCCTCTCTGCCCCGCGCCGCCCGGCCGCCCACCAGCAGCCGGAGCAGCCCGTCGCCAGACGGCAGACTCCGCACCGCCCGCCCCAGTCCCGGCAGCATCGCCCCAGACCTCTTCCTCCTCCACGCTCGGCTCGGGGCGGGCGTGGGCGAGCCCGAGCGGAGGGCGTTTCCTCCGGCGGTGTGTGCGAGGCTCTTCCTTCCCGCCCGCCGTCCGCCTGGCGGTACGAGCCCCGGGGCGCCGTCCGCCTGCTGCTCGGTCCTGAAAGCGGATTTCAACAGCTGCATTTATAAACAGGGTGAAGAAAAATCCTGGATTTCTCATACTTGAACGCCTGCTGCTTGTACAGCTGATAAATAATGACCCTTTGTCTCGCACTAGGTGATTTACTAGCCAAATTGCCCGGCCTGAGGGAACCTGATTATTACCAACCAGTGCTTCAGCAGAATAAACACCGTGATAGCACAGAAATGAACAGCTGAACACAAAAGAAAAACGTCCCAAAGTTCAGTATTTTCAAGTGCAGTCAGTTCACAGCAGCAGAATGATTTGCAGAGCAAACTGCAATTGTCATTTACTGCATATTAGCTTCTCCCAGCAAATCTTCATGACCATGAACACAGGTTTTGTGCTCAGTGCAGAGCTCTGAAGTGAAAGGGATCCATGATGTTACAGCAGGGAAAGAGAAAAGTGCTGGATTCATTGGTTTTCTCTGCTGTTGGTAATGTTCATCCACAGCAGTACTGCATACTACAAAACACAGCTGCACCCCATGGTGATGGAAGGCTCTTCAAAACTGCAGATCTGGAAGAACATCGCTAATATGGCAGAACTCCAGGGGTCTAAGACCCCACACTCCTTCAGCTTCCAGCTGGGAAGAGGGAATGCATGTGTCCCCCTCCAGGAAATGGGAAACAAACTAGTATGTTGTTTCTACAGGCCAAGAGAGCAGGCAGAACGTTTTACCCACTAGGCCTTGCATCACTGCCACATTAAAACAATGCCTTTACATCACTGCCACATTAAAACAGTGACCTTACCTCTTTGAAAAACCTGCCCTACGTTTATATTTCTCACCTCTCAGATTGCATCATAAGGTAAGTTCTGCTTCACTCTAAGAGTGAAGCATTCTGTGGCTTCTTATTTCTTAACCATTTGCTGTAACTTTGCATCTCATACCTCAAAGCTATCTGCAAAACACTTTTAAACTAGCACCATGCAAAACTAACTTTTGACAAAGAAAATCTATATATACATTTAGCAGTACAAAAGTTTACTAGGGAATGAATAGCAACGCTAGTAAAACCAAGAAAATTCTTGTCCCCTGCTCACAGGGGCCCCATCTGAACCCCCTGGTTCAAGCAACAACCAAAAGGAATGAAGGGCACTGACATGGAAGCCCAGGTGCTGCAAGTCCCAGTGGATAGTTCTGACATCACATAAGGAGAAGAACTGGTGTCCCACAGGTTGGTACCTGTCATCTAAGCAAAGCACCAATGAATCCCAAAACCAACCACCTAGAGGGCTGAACCTGATTTCAGACAAGTCTCACTACTTATCCTTAAGCCATTAATAAACAGCCAGAGCTTTCCAAACAGTCACACAAATGAAACCCAGACTCCTACATTTTCACAGAGAAGGTAGCAAATAAAATTCTTCTGATTCTTTTGAATGGGATGACAATACCAAGGCTATTTGCTGTAAAGACAGCAACTTTTTCCACTAGAGAGAATTATATTCCCTCCACGGGCAGAGAACAAAGATCTGTCTTCAAAACAGTAGCAGTAAATATTAGCTTGCTAATCCTCCTGCTGGGGTGTGTGTGTGTGTGTGTGTGTGTGTGTGTGTGTGTGTGTAAGAGTGAAATGAGACCTATTACTGACTTACACAAGACAGACAAAAGCTCTGCATTTTCTATGGAGCAATGTATCATTCAAGTAAGATTTCCTGACCAGACTGCTGGAAGACACAACACTAAATGGGAAAAGATCTGGATTCTGATTATAGAGATAAATTCTGACTGAAGGAATGGGAAGTGCTTAGATTGGATGGAGGGAGGATCATAAATCGCACTCTTTACTACAGAGCTGCCAGGCTGCCTAGATTGCACTGGAGTATTTATTAAGTCATCAGATACCCGAATTGTGATTGTAAAAGTTGTATCATCATAGTTCCAGGGCCATTTGAGGCCCAGCTGCAGCAGGGACCAGCAGGCCAATCTGCCATCAGTGTGACTATGGAGGAGTTCAGCCTGTGCCCTTGCTGCAGCACCTACACCAACAGCCTCAGCCAGTCTCAAGTACTTCAGCTCCTTGACTGCACTATTAACACAAGCTTAGAAAACCTTTATTAACATACACAATTTTCCTCATTTGGGCAATTGTAATGACCTGCACTAGTCCTTTGAATGACTTAAAATGTGAGGCAAAGTACACGTAATGTCATCAGAGTGGGACTGGAATTGGCATTTGTTGGAACCATATCAAAACACCACATCCTTGTATGTGGGCAGCCTTGGCAAAGGCTCCTCACAACGCTCAGGGCTCTCAGTACATTCTGGCTTCTCCCAGAAGCAGTATAACAAAACTTATTTTTTTAATAACAGACATTTAGTAAAAGATGCAGGTAGCACCACTAGAATTGACTATAACAAGAAGTTTGGATGACAAATAACAGAACAGGGAAAAGACTGGTGTAAGTCACTTCATGCACCACAGGTTGAAATGCATTGCATATCAGGCACCCTATTTCAAGTATTGTCTTAATGAGTACTGCAAGAAGACAGATGAACACCATAAAAAATTTAAACAGAGAAACTGAAAGCCAGAGAAAGAAAGATACCAGCACAGCAAAGACAAAGCTGTTGGCTGCCTCCTGCTTACCCCAGCTGACAGCACATTCACAGAAGCTACAGAACATACACAACTTTTCAGAAATAAAAAAGGTTACTATACTTTGTTCACAAAGTAATTAGATTGCAAAACTGTTCATTACAAGAAATGATTAAATTTAAGGTCAACAGTGCGATTAAACTGATTAGCAAAAATGCTGACAGGGTGTTTCACTTGTCAAGGTTTAAGCTTACCTCTAAACATGCAAGATACAGAGGAAAGCGAGGTCAGGTTAACCTGCATGTTACAAGTTTCTCACATTTCACTCCAGATCATTTGATACCTGTCACTCTCAGGACAGGATCCTGGTGCAGGATGATTTCTACCACCACTAAATGATCTGGCTGCTGTTCAACAGTTAAGTGGCTGATGGACCCCTCTGTTGGTGCTCTTCTCAACAGACACATTCTTCTTGCAGAACCAGAAAGAATCCATCCAGGCTGCTTGGGATGTCAGTCATGGTTGCAGAGCCACCTCCCACTCTTTTCTAGAGCTTTCAAAATACATACTTTGGAAGCTGAAAAATTTAATGCTTACATTCAAAGAATGAATTACACTGTTGTATAAAAAAAAAAGTATACTTGTTAATTGGGAATAGTAATTTGGATGTGGGGGAGTTTGGAAACTCTCTTGGCCTTATTTTGAATTAGGTACTTAAATTATAAGGTGCTAGACAGAATATACGGTACTTAGAAATGCAGTCATATCAAGAAATAGCTGAAATCAAACATCAAAGATTTCAGAAGCTGTGCACATGCTTAGCAGCCCTGCTAGAGACATTCTGGGCACAGACCAACAGGTCCTGTCCCACCTCTCCTTGTTTCTCCCAAGCTCCACACAGGACAACAATGGCAGTGCATTCAGATGCAAAGAAGTGCACGGAAAAATGCTTTGCAGAAGATGATTGATACACAATAAATAAGTATTTAATTTTCTAGTTATCAAAGTTGCAAAGGAAAGAAACAAAGACCCTGCAAGTGACATCAACAATCAAGAGTAGAAGACCAGAACAAGAAATTGAAAAAAAATCTTACAATGGGGTTATTTGTACTTTCACTGCTCTTGTAATAATCTCTTGTATGCAATACTAATCATGTGAGAATTCACTTGTTACACTTAACCTTTGGACTTTTGGTGAAAATAAATCACCAGAAGCTTGCAAGCAAATAGAAGATACTATTAAGAGACTTCTAATTCTAGTCACTTGTAGTAGTCACTTGTAGTAGTCACTTGTAGTAGTCACTTGTAGTAGTCACTTGTAGTAGTCACTTGTAGTAGTCACTTGTAGTAGTCACTTGTAGTAGTCATAGTAACCTTGCAGACTCCTGTATTTGACTATAAACATAAAATCAATTTAATTAAAACTTCAATTTATTTAAAGGCTGCTGTTTGTTATTCTAGGAAAAAGGCAGGTAAAGATGTATCAGTAAATCATTGTAGTCTCCTTCCTCTCATACATGTACAGTTCTCAATACCATTGTACCAAAAAACACGTTACAGTCTCAGAATTACATGGGTCCAATAGCCTTTATATTACCCAGTTGTAGTTGGAAATTTACAATCAGTCTCATGAAGTGGTCTCAAGCATGCTCTGCCCTTACAAAGAAGCATGATTTACTCACACAGTTCCCACCTAAAGGCTCAGGGATGTGAGTTTCAGGAACATGAGAAATATGAGAATCCTGGCTGCCAGTGAAGACCAAGGCAAAAAACTTATTTAGTACCTCAGCCTTCGTCATATCTGTTGTAGCCCATTCTCCTTTCTCATGTACCAAAGGAGATACACTCTCTTTTGGCCTGCCTATTCTGGCCAATGTACCTATGGAATCCTTTCTCATTATTTTTAATATCCCTTGCTAAGTTTGGTTCCATCTGTGCCTTGTCTTTCCTAGTTCCCCCTCTGCAAGTCCAGACAGCATCCCTGTGTTTTCCCCAGGAGACACATCCTTGTTTTCACAGCTGGTACAATCCCTCCTTTCCCCTCAGTCTGAGCAGCAGGTCCTTACCAAGCCAGTCTGGTTTCCTGCCTCCCCTGCCTCTTTTCTTATTCAGAGAGATGGAGAGCACTTGTGCTCTTAGAAAGGCATCCTTAGAGTAGCCAGCTTTCCTCCACTCCTTTGTCTGTAAGGACAGCTTCCCAGGAGATTTCATCCAGCAATTCCTTAAACGGTGTGAAGTTTGCTTTCCCCAAAGTTCAGGGTCCTGACCCCACTCTTTGCCAGGCCCATGTTCCTCAAGATCACAAACTCAAACATACTGAGGTGTGGTCATGGCAGCCAAAGCATGTTTGAAAAATCCCAAAGTTCCTGTGGCAGCGTCAGCCTCTCAGCCACTTATTCATTACCTGGGTTTTCCTAGCCCACTCTGTATCCCTCACCACCCATAAAGAATACAAG